AAAGATAGTATGTATAACCAACAAATATATGGTGCTGTAATCAATTATCCGACACGCAGAATGTCTCGTCGAGCACTGTAGCACTGTATATATTTTTCTTCTAACCCTCCCACTCCTGTCTCCTAACGAACATGACGATCAAGTGCATCCATTTGCTGAATGCACCCGAACACACGGGAAGCTTACCCGAGGCGCGTGTTCATAACGAGGCCGTTTCCAGAATTGGGTATTTTGTCACTCGAGTAAAAATAAAATGTCATGAGTAAAGATTAATCTCTTTATAGTGCAATTCTTAACCTTTTTATATTAATGTCAATATTGGAACAATGTATCTTAGATGTTTTCACTATGTATCTTTGCTACACTATGTGTCTTTGCTACGCAACACCGATGTAAAGTTTACATCCGGTTTTAGAATTGCATTATTGATCATGAGTAACGTGAGTAATAATATTACTCGAGTGATGCCCAACTCTGGCCGTTGCGAGAGACAAATATTTGAATTATGCAATTTTTTGTCTCTGTCGATGCGTGTCACCCAAAATGAGTTCACGTGTTACCTCTGACACGCCTGTCATAGGTTCGCCATCACTGGTCTAGAGGCTACAAGCCCCAAATCTAGCAGGACTGACTTCCCTCTAGGACAGTGGTTCTCAACCTTCCTAATGCTGTGACCCTTTAATACAGTTCCTCATGTTGTGATGACCCCCAACCATAAAATTATTTTCGTTGCTATTTCATAACTGTAATTTTGCTACTGTTATGAATCGTAACTCAGGATGTATTTTCATTGTTACAAATTGAACATAATTAAAGCATAGTGATTAATCACAAAAACAATATGTAATTATATATGTGTTTTCCGATGGTCTTAGGCGACCCCTGTGAAAGGATCGTTCAACCCCAAAGGGGTTGCGACCCACAGGTTGAGAACTGCTGCTCTAGGAGTTAGGGAAGAATCCATTCTTTACCTCTTGAGTGGTAGCTAACCTTATCATTCCTGTGTTTGTGACCATATTTCTCTAGTCTGTACCTCCATCTTCACTGAATGTCTTTTCTGTGTGTCTCTCCAAACTCCTCATTCCCTGTCACAAAAACAGTAATGTCATTGAGGCCCACCTGGATAATACAGGGTAAACTCAAAATACTTAACCTCAAAGACCTTTTTTTCCAAATAAGGTAAATTCTAGGGATTAGGATTTGATGTCTTTGTGTGGTCATTATTCAACCTACTAAACTAAACCTTGGTTTTAGAAACTTGGTAGCCATTGTAGATCTCAGTAAGAGCAATTTCTATTCAGCAGTGGGGCATAGGAAAATCCTATTCACCTTTCATGGTTGCTGCCACATAGAGAACTCTGTTGTCTGTCCCAAGACTGTGCACGTTGATCACACTGTTTTTCCATGGACAGTCTGTAGTTGTATGCCTATGGCTAGCTTCAAGTTTTACATGTTGAACATGAGAAAGGAGCAGAATTTTCAGAAGCCTTTGCCTGCTTTTTTTTTAGTTCATTAGTGTTGACCTGCAGGATCCAAGTTGGCATTACCAATGGCCATTATTTCTATAGCCAAAATTTGGTTTATTTCAGATTTCAGACATCTGTTTTGATTAATAATATCAGTAGCTGTGTAATTTCATTTGTAATCTGATAACCATATTGCTGAAAAATTTCTAAGCAGAAAGTAGAATGTATGTCATTTAGGTAATATATTGGTATAGTGGGTATTTTAAATAACATAAAGTATCTGAAGAGAGGTAAAGGGATGCAGAGAAAAATGCTATTTGCCAGTTTTTTCTTACCAGCTTACACAGATGTTAAAACTAGCACAATTGGTGTTGAGCTGCCCTCAGTTGTTTTCTGTAGACTTTTCATGATTTCTGCCCTCAGTTGTTTTCTGTAGACTTTTCATGGACACTGCAGAGCAGCAGAGGTGAGAAATAAGTTACCTCTGGCTCTAATGGCACTGCAAGGATGAGAGATGGCAACACATCTGGAAGAGGCCTGCTTCCCTGGGGGTGTTCTAGTAACCAAGGGATTCCTTTATCCTCAGATCTCCTATGAGATGGAACTGGCACAATGCCTGCCCTCCTGTTGGTATATGTTTTTGGAGGGGAGGCATTGCACTTTCACCATATGAAGAGAGCTGACCTAATTACCATAGATTAAATCTTTAGTTGTGGGACCATTCTTCCAGATTACCCCTCTCCTCTGTATTGGAGGTGTGACGTGGTGAAAACAACACAGGCTTTAGAGTTCAGCAGACGAGGTTCATCACCTAACGTGTTTTGTAACCTTTGGCAAGTTATATACCCTCTTGGAGCCTCTGTTTTCTCGTTTGGTGAAATGGGGTTGAAGGCATCTAGTATCATCCTTACCACATAGTAGGCATATAAAAAATGTTAGATTCCACTATTAATACATCTTCCATTTTTTCATTTTGTATGCAATTATTGATGCTTAAATTTCCTTACTGCCTTTGTGTCTTTATATTAAGTAGAGTCTTAAAGAAAAATCCACCTGTTAACACATTGCGTACCGCATAGAAATCTCTAAGACATATGCCAGGGACCGCATGTTTTTGGGCAAACTGCACGTTATTTAAATCATCATAATGCACTTTAGGTGTTGTTTTTCAATAATTATAACATTTTTATTTATAAAAACAATTAAACAATTAAAGTTCCTAGTACTTTTTTAACGTATGGTACTGCGTAAAACATTTTCCTCTATGAAGAGGGACCAAACAAAATTTACATAAGTATCTAGATTCGCTCCTTTTTTCATGGGCGTGAAAAACGAGAACACTTGTGAGCGGTCCTTAACAGATGGCGCGTGAAACACGAGAAAACTCCTGAGCGGTACGAAATGTGTTAACATAGCATCTCCTTTGGGAAAGAGAAATAATGACCATCCCTTCTTGGTCTCCTCCCACCCCCCAATTTTGTCACTTTATGACAGTACTAACCATTAGGTCTTTGGTTCCATTACATTGGCATACAATCATAGTCATCAGGGAATACTTCCTGAGGAAGGCTTTCATTAATTATAAAATTTACTAAGGAGGCAGAAGAAAGTTGGTTTAATCCATGTGGAGGAGCAGCTCTGGGCAAAGACTAAAATATGGGGAAGGGAGTTGCTGAGGAATGAGGCTGTAAATAGGTCAGATTATTCAACAGAGTATTCCAGGATTCTTTTGGAAGAAAGCTGTCATAATGAGTCTAGTACTTGAGAAAGAATCAGGAAGGGAAATAGCATGAGAATATCTTAACAGACAACTTATTATTGACTAGAGGCCCGGTTCATGAAATTCGTGCACAGGAGTCAGCCCCACTTGCACCCTCTCCAATCTGGGAGCCCAGATATTAGGCTTAAACTGGCAGTTGGACATCCCTCTTGCAATCCAGGACCTCGGGCTCCTAACCACTCACCTGCCTGCCTGCCCTAACCATTCTGCCTGCCTGCCTGATCCCCTCTACTGCCCTCCCCTGCCGGCCTGATCCCCTAACTGCCCTGCTGCCTGATCCCCCTAACTGCCCTCACTTGCTGGCCTGGTCGCCCCTATTAACTTTTTTTTTTCATCTTATCCCCTTCACACACAATTGTATTTGACTTTCTTATTGGCTTCTCCCTGTCACACAATTTCTCTCTCTCCTTTATGTAACACCTTTTCCTACTGACTCATCATTTATAAACTTTTCTTTCCTCGTTATTTCCTACTTCTGTTCCATCATTCTTCTTCCCATCTTTCTCCTACCCTCCCTCCCTCCCCCCACATTCCTTCTTTCCTTTATCTTTACCCCTGCCCTCCCTCCCCTTTCCCTTCCTTCCCACCTTAATTTTTTTCTTTACTTCCTTCCTTGGACCTGCTTTGCTTCCTCCCCCCTTTCTTCCTTCTTCCCATTCTCCTTTTAAGTAGTACTGGCTCCCCTTTAAACTTTTCTTCCCTTCCTCTTTCTCTCTCATCCTACCTTTCCCATACATTCTTCTCTACTTACTTCCACTGTTTTAATACCTATCTACCTGCCTAATTATTCACTATCATTTGTTTTTTCTTTTCTGACTCCTACTTTTAAAATCTGTCCCCAGTACACAACTATACTTGATTTTCATTATAGCTCCTGCAGTTCACTCACACATCCTCTTTCCTTCTTTAACTCTGCTCTCTACTGACTCCTTTATAAAGTTCTTCCCTCCCTCCTTCCCTTCTTAAAGCTTCTGCTGGGGGAGGCCGTTAACCCCCAGCCCAGAGCTCAGCCCCGGCCGGGGTTCACTGCCCCCCCTTCCCCGGCCTCCCTGCTGATGTCCTGCTCCTATTCCCTGCCTAGGACACCCGGCCCAGTGAGGGTGGCTGAGGCCTGCGCGGCCCTGGGCGCTGCTGCCACGAAGCAGGAGCGCCTCTGCCCAGAAGGCCTCAGCTGTCCTCCACCCTCCTCCTGCTTCTGGATGGGGCTCCCGCTCCGTGCTGCCTGTGCCCCGCCCCTTGCTGGGCGCACCTGCTCCACCCGCGTTTCCTTCCCTTTTTTATTCCTGCATCTTTTTCTTGTTCCCTTTCTGTATTTCTGTTTCTCCTCTCAGCCTGTCTGCATGTAGGCCTGCCTTCCTCTCCCTCTCCTTTCTTATCCTCTCCTGTCGTATCCTATCCTACCCTGGGCCTTGCAGCTGCCTGAGCAGAGGGCGGGGACGCAACCTGCTGATCTGGTTGTGATGTGACGCTGTAATGGACAAATTTACATATTCCTCTATTATTAGATTAGATTGCCCACCGTGTTGTGCCTGGGCTGCTGTGTGATGCCACATACTGTGCTGTGTTGTGAACAGAGGATCGCAGGATGGCCTTTGGAGTTGGCTCAGTACCGAGGTCATATACTTCCTCTGTACTTCTCCAACTGTGTGACCTTGGGCAAGCTGCTCATCTTTCACGTGGGCATGCGACTGTATGGCCTTGATTTCCTAAGTCCTCTGAATTTAAGACCCCTTGTAGGAGGTGGTGGGAACATTTTCTCATTAAATTAGTCATTCCTTGTAGCCAATTGTATGATGTTTCATGGTTGGACAAATGTTAATGTGATTTTTAAAAAATGCATTTAGAAGCAAAGCAATATGATAATACCCATCTCAGGGATGTTAGGAAGATTAAGATAATGCATGTCAAGTGCCCACCCAAGTTATTTTTCCAAGACTAGTAGCTATTATTAACGAGGAAAGGACATGAAAAATAATTTTATTGGGAACATCTGAAGAAAGAATTTTAAACAGCAAGGTCATAATGTGACCAGGATCTTGAAATAGGAGTGGAATGAAGGGAAAGAAGACAAGAGAAAAGTTCAAGTAATGCTGTAGAGATAAATGAATGTGTATACAATGAGGAAGTTTTACCCCTTTACAGACAAAGTTTTCATTGTAGTGATAACTTTGTGATATATGTTCCAGTGTGAACAGCAGGAATGTGGTAATTATGTGGGAGAAATTGACTCTTGTGTCATCATCTTAAGCTGCTAATCACAAAAAATAATGCATTGGATAACTCACAAATAAAAAGTATTGTGTATTGTTGTGGGGGTGGTGTGGCTGGTTGGGGACTTATTATTAGTTTATTAGAGTAGTTGCCTGGCCAATGATACTGAATTTTTAGCTCTTTCTTTTTTTTCCTTTTTCTTTTTTGCCCCAGGTCCAGCAAGACTATGAACCTCTGTTCCAAATGCTTTGCTGGTAAGTGCAGAAAAGGATTTTTTATTTACTTTTATTTTTCTTCTTTTGGTTGTTCCTAAGCCTATCTACATCATTTGGCCCTCCTTTGGGTTTATGCATGGGGATTTGTTTCTTTGTTTGTGTGTGAAAGCAATTTCTCTTCACCAAGGTGCTTCATATATTTTCCTAGGACTATTGAAATAGCCTCCCCGAATGAAATGAAATCTTATGTGTACTTGCATCAAACAAACTGTCCTCGATGTACAGTTGTGGTGTATAGTGGAATTGTAAAAACTCACATTGTACTAGGGTAATATATGTTCATGTTTGATCTTGAATGATTAATGGTGAATGTTGCCTTTACCAATGAGAATGCAAGAGAAAGAATATTTCATATTGGAGTCAGGAAGACAGTCATGCTGAATTAGCCTTTTCTAATCCAGTCCCTCATTTAAATCACCTTGGGTAAGTCACTTAATCTCTTTGGGCATTAGATTCATCATTTGTAACATGAAGGGTTGGGGTTTGATGTTTACCAGGTGTTCTTTCCAGCCCCAAATGTTGATTGGTTGACTCCCTGAATTTATGATTCCTTCATGAAGTTGCAGCCTTCATGCTTTTTTTTTAAAAAAAAGAACTTTATATCTAAATGATCTTATATAAAGTAACTAAGTCTTTACTACTTGAGATATGTTTTTCCTTTTAATCTTTTAATTGAGATATGTTTAACTTAACGTAATGTTCCTTCTTTATTACTTTATTTTTGTCAAAGATAAACACAGTTGGACACTAGTTAAGGTGGTAAAGGACAGCTCTTAATGAGTAATTTACTGCTACAATACAAAGTCCTGTGTGAACTGAATTCGGATTTGTGCAGTGGGACTGGTTATTTTAAAAGGTGAGGGACTAGACAGGGTTTGCTATCTTGGCTCAATAGAGTCAGGGAAGTGACAAATTACAAAGGGTTGGTCAGTGTAAATGATAAGGTGGGGCGGAGCCTCTTAGCTGACAACCATGTAAGTTAAGATTCTATCCTACAGAGACAGGGACTGAAACGCTCTCCTTCTTGATGATCACCTTTTAAAGCAGCAGTTCTCAACCTGTCGGTCGCGACCCCTTTGGGGGTCGAACGACTCTTTCACAGGGGTCGCCTAAGACCATCGGAAAACACATATATAATGACATATTGTTTTTGTTATTAATTACTATGCTTTAATTATGTTCAATTTGTAACAATGAAAATACATCCTGCATATCAGATATTTACATTATGATTCATAACAGTAGCAAAATTACAGTTATGAAGTATCAACGAAAATAATTTTATGGTTGGGGGTCACCACAACATGAGGAACTGTATTAAAGGGTCGCGGCATTAGGAAGGTTGAGAACCACTGTTTTAAAGGAATGGCTTTCATGTCCTTGAGCAAAAACTCCAGAATTGTAGGAGATACATGTACATCTCAAAGGGTCAAGGATAATTCACAGTTGTAAACTCTTTTTAGTAAGTGCTCTAAGATAGGGTGCTCTGGGGCCTGTAGTCAGATGTTGGTCATAACAAACCTTAAATTCTTTTGGCAACCCAGAGCTTTCCTAGGCATCCACTTAATGCGGGGCTATTGTCAACCTAGGGATGGGGCCTTGAGCTGTTAGAAACTGTTAGTGTTTGTTTAAATCTTTTACTGTTGGGGGAGAGGAGTAGATGAAATCATTTGTGTTAAGAGCCTGTAGTTTTTATAGGCCGAGGTTGAGGCCTAGTTGAGAAAAGGGCTCAAGAGGATCCTAGCTAGAGTTTGGTAAAGGGGAGAATCTTTGTCAGTTTTTATCTTCTATTCATTATGCCGTTTGAGCGCCAAAATAATTATAGTATAAGCTTTAGACCTTTGCATTTATGTCTAAACTAGGGGGTAAGTGGGAAGGAGTTGAGAGGGCTGGGAAAGCTGACAGTTTGTATCTGTTAAACGTTTAGAATTTGTCAAATACTTTAGGTCTTTAAAAGGTAAGTTTGGTTTTTATCTAACTTCTAGCAGTATCTCTGCCATGTTAAACAAATGTATTTTGCTCTTCTTACTCTTCATATCGACAATTACAGGTATGAAGAGATGTTTCCTCATTGATGTGAGTTTAACTTTATAGTAAAAATGAAAGTAGCAATAAGACAAAATGTTTTGTGGTTATTTCCACAACAGGGTTGCAGATTCTTATAGCAGGTAAATTAAAACATTTTTGCATTAACCTGCAGCTCTTACTGCTTGGAGTTATACTCTAATCTCTCTTCTGCTTTTATTCCCTGTTAGAAATTAAGAATAGAAGTGGCTTAATTCTAGTAACCCTTGAAAGGGAAACATTGTAAGTTACAGCTAAATTTTGAGGATCTGCAGTAAGAGGAACAGAGTGAATCTTGAAATTTTTAAGTTGGTTTCCTTTTAGACATTGTGGTGTACCCATCAGGGAAATAGTATTAAAATACTCACTCCAGTTAGTTATTTTATAGCATGGTGAAGTTTGGGCAAGATAGTCGAATCAGTATGCTTCTCATGCCTTGATTTTTCAAATCATCTTTTCCCAGAAGAAAGGCAGCTTCTGTTTTTAAGATGAAGCATTTTTTTTATCTCAAGAAAAATGATTTTAAATATGATAATGTTATATGCAGTAAATACCAATTATTCAAGAAAAATTATCTTACATATAATAATATTACATGCAATAAACACTAATATTTCAAGAATAAAATGATTTCAAGTATAATAATATTACCAAAACTGTACTAACATAGTATGATATCTCAGAAGTTGTAGGAAATACTAAAAATCTGCAAATAACAGGATTACTTCTATTATATTCCATTATATATTTTTTCCCTCTGGCTCTATATTTGTTCATGAGTTTATGTTGTTCATTATATTTATCTTTCTCTGACTGGCTTATTTCGCTTAGCATGATGCTCTCCAGGTCCATCCATGCTGTTGCAAATGGTAAGAGTTCCTTCTTTTTTACAGCAGCATAGTATTCCATCGTGTAGATGTACCACAGTTTTCTAATCCACTCATCTGCTGATGGGCACTTAGGCTGTTTCCAAATCTTAGCTTTTGTAAATTGTGCTGCTATGAACATAGGGGTGCATATATCCTTTCTGATTGGTGTTTCTGATTTCTTGGGATATAGTCCTAGAAGTGGGATGACTGGGTCAAATGGGAGTTCCATTTTTAATTTTTTGAGGAAACTCCATACTTTTGTGAATGATCCATGTGCACTTGAGAAGAATGTATATTCTGTTGCGTTGGGGAGAAATGTTCTGTGAATGTCTATTAAATCCATCTGATCCAGTGTTTCCTTTAGAGTCTCTGTTTCCTTGTTAAGTTTTTGTCTGGAAGATCTGTCCAGGGAAGTCAGAGGGGTGTTAAAGTCCCCTACTATGACTGTATTGTT